CCAGTTACAGAATTTGAGCTACTAAAGAGGACCACTGCAGGACCCTCCAGTTCAGGCTGTAGCCACGCTCCAGTGCGCAACTCAGAAATTCTGGTGAGGGTAGATTGAAGGCAGATATTTTGGGGCAGTTAGTTCTGTTTTTAATCCACATACAGCTTGGAATGGAAAAGTGGGCACATTTTATTTTAAAGAGTGCCTAGGGACAATGCCAGAATTTTTCTTTCAGCACGTTTTCTGATTAACCAGGTAGTAAAAGTATTTTAACATTTTTAAAAAGTAAAATCTTAACCTTTTCTGTGTAGCCTTTGTTATTCCTTCAACTACAAAAGCCCCTCTGCCTGTTAAATTGATTGGTAGAGGTTAGATATCAGATATTAGGGTGTGTGCTGAGATTGACTTGCATAATGGAGTGAATGCTTCGGGAGAACCTTCTTGACTCTGGAAAATGAATTATATTAAATTTCCTCAGCTTTAGTACATTATTATAATCAGCAAAGTATTCCAGCCTAAAAAAAAACCTGGCAGACACTTTATCCTTAAGACTGTGAAATATAAGATGGTGTGAGTCTTATTTGTTTGCTGGAAGAAAAAAGTGGTACTTTCAGCGCAGACAGTCCTGGTAAAGTGCCAGATTGAGAATAAGAGATAACTAGGGATAGGGACCCTTTCTCTGAGGAGGGATTGAGCAAACTTCTTCAGACCTTAAATCTGAATATATAACTTGGCCTTTTTGCCTTCCTTAGCTGAATGCCTTCTGTCTGAGGGTATTTAGCTATAAGACGGGGGATATAATGAGATGGATTGACATAGTAGCCTCAGCAGTGGGCTCAGACATATCAAAGATCATGGAGACAGCACAGGAGTAGACACCATTTTGTTCTGTTACACATAAGGCCACCATGAGCCAAAGCTGACTTGATGGCAACTAACAACAACAACATAATCACATCAGTATGTCATTGTAACATGACCTGCAGTATCACAGAAATCCATGCAAGTCGTGTTCAAGAAGGCCAGTCCTTGCTGGTGATCGGTGGCCTGCAGATACCTCTGTAGCACTTTTTTATACCATGACCCAGCATTTTTTAGAAGGCTCCAGTTGGTTTAGAATTTACTGAGCCCTTGTAGTGTCTTGGGCATTAGACTCCATATAAGCCAAATAGGTAACAGTTATAGAAAGTGGGGTGCTGTGGTTTTGAGCTGCTGCTTATCATTGTGCCTGAAGTCAGGGAAATGGTGGGTGTCCACCTGCCTCATTTTGAGCAGTAGCATTGCTACCCTTCTGAGAAGTGCCCCCGTGACATTTTCAATCAGTTGACAAGTATTTGTCAAGTTGCAACTATGCACTAGCTTTGTTAAGATGCTGTAGGTAACATGACTATATAATTTATCACCAGGGCTACTTTTGAGAGCGAGAGAGCTATTAATAATTATACTGAGACAGTAGTCATACACTGGGAAGACCAGAACAGATGATTGGCTTTGCTGTAAGGGATACAAGAATGCCATTCATGCCCTTCGTCCACAGTCTAAAGGATGCTTACGGTCCTTTTGTTGTTGTTGTTGTTAGGTGCCATTGAGTCAGTTCTGTCTCATAGTGACCTTAAGTATAACAGAATGAAATGTTGCCAGGTCCTGTGCCATCCTCACAGTCTTGCTCCATCTTGTTGAGGGTCTTTCTCTTCTTTGCTGACCCTCTACTTACCAAGCATGGTATCCTTCTTCAGGGATTGGTCCCTCCTGATAACATGTCCAAAGTAAGTGAGATCATCCTCACTTCCAAGGAGCATTCTGGCTGTGTTTCTTCCAAGGCAGATTTGTTCATTCTTCTGGCATATTCAGTATTCTTCACCACCATAATTCAAAGGCATTAGTTCTTCATTGTCCTTCTTTATTCATTGTCCAGCTTTTGCATGCATATGAGGTGACTGAAAATACCATGACTTGAGTCAGGCACACTTTAGTCCTCAAAGTGACGTTTTTGCTTTTTAACACTTGAAACAGGTCTTTTGTGGCAGATTTGCCTAATGCAATACATCATATGATTTATTGACTGATTGACGCTTCCACGGAGTTTGATTGTTGATCCAAGTAAAATGAAATCTTTGACAACTTTAATATTTTCTCCATTTTCCACGGTGTTGCTTATTCGTCCAGGCGTGAGGATTTTTGTTTACTTTATGTTGAGGTGTAATCCATACTGAGGGCTGTCTCTGATCTTCATCAGTAAGTGCTTCAAGTCGTCTTCACTTTCAGCAAGCAAGGTTGTGTCATCTGCATATCGCAGGTTGTTAATGAGTCTTCCTACAATTCTGATGCTGAGTTCTTCTTCATATAGTCCAGTTTCTTGCATTATTTGCTCAGCATACAGATTGAATAAGTACGGTGAAAGGATACAACCCTGTTAGAGGGCTAATACACACTGAATAATGCTGGAAGATTATTTTAAAAGTCTTTCTCTTCTGTAATTATCCCATTATGTCCTCTTCCTCACTCAAATCAGTTTCTCCCTCTTCTACTCATCATTTCCACGAGAGACATGTTCAAGCGTCTCTCATCTTTAAAAATCCCTTCCTTGACCACACCTATTGCCTCTCTTTTTTTGGCTTATTATAGCAAAAACTTCTTGAAAGAACAGTCTATACTGTGGTCAGCAGACTTTTTCTATTAAGGGCCAGATAGTAAATATTTTAGACTTTGCACACCATAAGTTCTGTTACAACTACTCATCTCTGTCATTGTGTGGTGAAAACAGCCATAGATAGTTTTGTAAATGAGTGAGTGTGGCTGTATTCCAAGAAAACGGTGATTTATAGAAACAGGTGGCAGACTGGATTTGCCTCTGGACCATTGTTTGCATCCCTTCTCCATACTCGCTGTCTCCACTTCATCACCTTATCATTGTCCACTTCCAGCCCCTCAACTCTGCTGGAACTGCTCTTGCCAAGGTCATCAGTGACTTCCCTGGTGTCAGATTCACTGGGATTTCTCCCTCCTAATCTTCCATGAATTTTCACCAACATAAGACATGGTTGCAATCTTCCTCCTCCTTCAAACACTTTTGTTTTGCTTCCCTGACACCACAGTCCTGGTTTTCCTCTCATGTCACTGGTAGTTTTCTCCTGCATCTTTGCTCCCTCATCCTTTTCTTCTAGACTTCTGAACAGTGGAGTGTCGGAGGCTCAGTCTTGGATCATCTTTTCTTTTCTTCTCTCTCTGTACTCTCTCCCTAGGTGACATCTTCCTGCCCTGTAGATTTAAAGATCGTCAATAAACTGATGACTTCTAAATTTAAATCTCTAGTTCTCACCTTTCTTCTAAGCTCTAGACCCATATATCCAATTTAGTATCTCTGCTTGATATCAGATAGGCTGTGTACCTTTAACATATTGAAAATGAAACTCTTGATTTCCATTCCCCCCCCTCCCCGCCCCATCCCTCTACCACCCATGGCAAGAAGCTCCGGAATAAGAAAGGAATCCAAATATCCACGGAAGTGGACAGCCTGGGAAACTCTAGAAGGAGAGGGAGGTATAATCCCTTCCTCTAACAAGGAGAGAATTTCCTGCAGAAGAAGCTAACTTAAGTTTGCTTTTTGGGAATTTTTTTTTTTAAGTGAAAAAAATTAGTTCACAGTCTGGAGGTAGCTCTTATTTTAGGTATAGCTGAATGCAGAAGTTCAAATAATTCTGTCCGAATTTTGTCATTCTTCCTTCATCTGTGTTTCGCTCTCCTCTGTTTCCGCATTCTTCCTAGGGAGACGTGAAGAATGTGGAGATAAAGATGGCCACACACAGCTCTAGGGTTACATTGGCCTTAACATTACATTTATAAAGGGCTTGGAGTCTCTGGGTGGTGCCAACGGTTACCACTTGGCTGCTAACCCAAAGGTTGGAGGTTTTAATCCACACAGAGGTATCTTGGAAGAAAGACCTGGCAGTCTACTTCAGAAAAAATCAGTCATTGAAAACCCTATAGAGCACAGTTCTACTCTAACATACACAGGGTTGCCATGAGTCGGAATCGACTCGATGGCAACCGGTAAGGCCCATTTAAGACAAAAACCCAAACCAAACCTGTAGAGCTGCCCCATAGGGTTTCTAAGGCTGTAAATCTTTACAGAGGCAGACTGCTACATCTTTTTTCCATGGAGTGGCTGGTGGGTTCAAACCACCAACCTTTTGTTAGCAGCTGAGCGCTTAACCACTGCACCCCCAGGGCTTCTTCATTTAGGACAAGCCACTCTTAAATCCAAAGTAAATAAAGTGCTTTGGTTGAAACGAAGTATGAGTTCTTCTCTTGGTGTCTGCTGCATCTTTTATAAGTACGTATGTTCTGTATGTGTGGCTTTATGCCCTCACAACTCCCATATTGTTTCTTCCCCTACTCACAGAAGCTGCTGTGGGTTTTAATACATCTGATGTGCAGTATCCATCTTTGTAGGTTTTTATTTCAGTGGGAACATTTGGCTCACCATTAGCTTTAAGTGTGCCTTTCAAACTTCATTTCATTGGTTTCCAAATGGGGTACTACAGACGTCTTTGAGGTTTGCCAAAATTCTGGAGTACCCATACACAGTCCTGAATTTTTTGGAAGGCACAATCATCTGGGACTTCCAAAATACAGAGCTCCCCACCTCCAACTGAGAGCCATCTCTGTCTGTCTACAGACTTTGACTGCACATGCAAGCACGCACGCGCCCGGACATGCATGCTTTGTTTGTCTGTCATCAGTAACGTGTAGCAATCACTGAGATAGAGGGAAATGGTTTCATTTTCAAATTAAAATTTTATGATGCTGATTGGTAAGAGTCCTGAGTATTTGCCTGTATCCAAATGCTGGACTCTAGCTGTGTCTCCTGCTTTGTTGAATAAAATGTCAACGTAAGTACAGTGACTCAAGAGAGCTTTGTGGTAATTTTGAGTCTGGAATTGATTATAGTGTAACGACTGTGCTGTTTTGCATTGCTTCTTGTTTTTCGTTTATTTTTCTTACTCTAGGCACTTGAAGAGGCCCAGAAAGCGATTCAGCAGCTCTTCGGCAAAATCAAAGATATCAAAGACAAAGCAGAAAAATCAGAGCAAATGGTGAGTTGAGATTTCTAACCTTTTTTGCCTTGAAGAGGAAGTTCGCCTCTCGTCCAGTCATACTGATGAATGGGCTTTTTTGCCCACTTCCTGTCAACCACAGTCTTCCCACATCTCAACAGTAAGCCTCTGGTGAATGCATTCCAGATCAATTTGAGAGGGGTTACTAGACACGCAGTGACTCACCATCCCCTGCTGCCCTACATTTGCAGGCCTCTTTTTAAATAGGAAAAGTTTCCTTTTCCTCCTTTTCCAAAAATAGTGTCCTAGTCATTTTGGATTTCTTTCTCTAGCTTTTGTTTATATCACATATTTCTCATTTGAGATTTACACTCTGTAAATTGGTATCACATTAAAACTGGTACTGAATCTGGGAGGTGGATGTATCCTGCCCGGGGTACATGCTTATGGTTTTGATTAACTTCTCCAGCTCCACCCTCAGAAGACCCCGCCGCTGACCAAGAATTTAGCATCCACCCACTCCCGGTCTGTGGCAGCCACTGTGAAGTGCTAGACATTGGATCCCGGGTTCAAATTCTGACTGAGAAACGTAATGTCTCTGAATTCCAGTTTCTTCAACTGTAAAATAAGGATAATGACATCTCCCTCACAGGGAGCACCAAGCATAGTACTAGGCTTATGTTAGTAGCTCAGTAAATGGAAGTCATTACCATTATTATTAATGTCAGTATTTTTTTTCTACTTTTTTTTTGGTAAAACAAACTCCCAAACCCTTACAGGCTGCTCTCCCTACATCTTATAATCCACTCCAGGAACAGATTCGAGATCACATTTCCATGTATCCTTCAGTTCTCTTCATTGGCCATATGGCAAGATAGGACAGGATATGGGGTGTGGGGTGAGGGGGCCAGACGTTCAGCAGATTGTTTCCGCTTTGGGTTTGGGAGGGGGAGTGTTTGAAAAGCACGACCTCCAAAGTCAGTATGCCTGGGTTCAGATCCCAGTCCCTCTGCTTACTAACTGGGTGACCTTAAGCAAGTTATTTAATCTGTCTGTGCCTTAGTTTCCTCAATGTAGAATGGAGGTAACAGTCATATCTACATCATAGAGTTGTAAGGATTAGATGAGATCATTCAGGGCACACAGTTAGGTACTGAGTAAGTATTGGTTGTTGCTGTTTTTATCGTTAGTTCTTCCTACTCCCACTCCCAAGCGGGCGGTGTTAAGTTCCCTAACTAACCAAGGGGCCAAAGAAAGAGAACTCTTACATCACAGGAATAAAAATCAACATATGTGCTTCACCCCAGAATTAAATAGCATTGAGAGGAGCTTGTATGTGATCAGAGAGTGATTTGGATTTGTGTTGTCTTTCCCCAAAGGTGCACTGCACTCCGCACCATCCTGGGGACTGTTGAAGTGTGATTATCAGGTGACACTCTCAAATGTGTCTTTTGCTAGAGCTTATTGTATTCAGATTTCTTACGCATCGATATCCTTATGATTCTAATTTGCTATTCTGGACTATGCTCCTTGTTCCAGCTGAGGGTGGGATACAGTGACTTAGTCTGAGTACGCTGCCTCTATAGTTATTAGATGTCTTGTTTTAAAGCAATTTGCTTTCCTGGACAAGTGCTAAAGGGAAGACGAGGGGGAGTGAGGAGAGAACCGATATCTGTTTAGTTCTTTTAATGTGCCAAGCACTCTGGTAATCCCTTTATACAAGCAATCTAACTTAACCTTCACAGCAGTCTTATGAACTAGGTATTATTATCATTCTTATTTTTATGATTACCCATTTTATAGATGAGGAAACTGAGACTCACGTAGGCTAAGCAGCTTGTTCTAGGACACGGAATTGGTAAGTGGTAGAACTGGATTCATCCCCAGGTCTGTTTGATTCCAAACCTACCATATCATGCTCTGTCTTTTTTTGGTTGCCCATGAAATTAAGATAAATTAACTACAGATACTCTGTTTTGCAAGGAGCCTTTGTGGCACAGTGGTTAAACACTTAACTGCTAACCAAAATGTTGGTGGTTTGAACCCACCAGCTGCTCCGTGGGAGAAAAATGTAGCAGTCTGCTTCCATAAAGATTACAGCCTAGGAGACTCTGTAGGGCAGTTCTACTCTGTCCTGTAGAGTGGCTGTGAATCAGAATCGACTTGACAGCAGTGGGTTATGGGATTCTGTTTTGCAGAATGATCTCTTGTGAATTTGACCTGAGCACCCTTTGTGTGACCTACCATTAAGGGTTTTGTTTCGGGAATAATAAGTAGTTCAGTTTGTCTAGAGAAGCATAGGGTATGTGATGAGGAGTCATGGGAGATACTGGGAATGAGGAGACCAGTCAGCTCTGGTATGAGGCAGTGAGGGCCTGCACAGGGACTAGAAAGGAGGGGACAAATGCTTGAGATGACACGAAGGAAGGACACACAGGATTTTCATGACTGATGGTGAAGAGAATGAGAAGAGCCATAGATGACTGTGGCTTTTAGCACAGTGTTTAAAAGCCTCTGATTTTCAGACTGAAGCTAAGGAAGCCAGAAAGAGGCATAGAGACTTTACTGTAGGAAAGAGAATGATGATTTCACTGTTGAAAAGTGAGTGATCAGATTATAGGGCCAAACTCCTATATCTAGTTTGTTATACCACTCTTCATCTTTTTTGCCCCAAAGCTACTTATTTAGTAAAAGGGTGGTGAGTTCTTAACTTTTTGTTGTTATTGCAGTGGGAGTAGAGGTGGTTTGATGGCTGAGAGTTATAGGTGGAAGGCAGGCTTGATGGGGAAGCCCCTTGAAAGAGGCTTTTTACTGCTAAGATCCAGGTCAACCTTCCAGGCTTGTGAGTGTGGAATTGAGTTGTGCAGTCATAATCTTTCTTTTTGAGTTTACACAGTGTGATCAAACTCTAAAAAATCAGGTCATGTGAACCTTCCGTTTTCAGTGGAAGCAATATCTATCCAGTGAATAGAATGTATGCGCCTGATATTTAGGATACTCCTTTTCAGGTATCAAACAACCTGGGAAACCAAACCACTGTTCAGAAAGTTTCTTAGTCAACATGGACTCAGATAATTTAGTAGAATGTTTCTCCTAGGTTGTAGTAAAGTTGGAGAATTTTTCCTGCTTCACAGTTTATTTATTTATTTGTTTTATTGTGGTAAAATATGTATAGCAAACTTTTGCCATTTCAACTATTTTTGGGTGTATAATTCAGTAACATTAATTACATTTTCCATATTGTGCAACCATCAGCACTATCTGTTTTTTAATTTTTTCATCACCTTTAACAGAAACTCAGTGCCCCTCAAGCAATAACTCCCTCTTTCCCCTCCCATCCACCTCTGGTAACTACTAATAAACTTCGGTCCCTATATATTTGCCTAGTCTAGATATTTACTATTAGTGGGATCATATAATATTTATCCTTTTGTGTCTGGCTCATTTCACTTAGCATAATGTTTTCAAGGTTCATCCATATTGTAGCATGTATTAGAACTTCATTCCTTTTTATGGCTGAATAATATTCCATTACCACATTTTGTTTATCGATTCATCTGTTGATAGACACTTGGGTTGTAGCTACCTTTTGGCTCTTGTGAATAATGCTGCAGTGAACAGTAGTGTACAAGTATCTGTTTGAGTTCCTGCTTTCAATTCTTTTGGGTATATACCTAGGAGTGAAATTATCGGGTCCTAGTCTACTAATATTCCCAGATACAGAGTTTCTCTCTCTGGGACCCACTGGATCAACACCGTCAGAATTTTTTTTCTCAGATCACCTTTTCACTCCCTGAAGATTGCTCCTTTCCTCTCGTGACGTTGCTTGTTAAGCTTGTGCGGCACTGGTTACATTTTAGTCTTCTTGAGATTTGAAAGTCTTTTCTTTGCTGGAGACCTGGACAGTAAACCCTAGTCGCATTAATAAAGACCATCTCAATAGAAATTGCTGACTAATGCTATCTATTTTGTACCAAGTCTTGTAGCTCCAATTTCAGAAGACATACTTTTCTGGCCTTGTTCAAAAAAAATGCCCTGTACTTGGGTTCTGTAGTCTATATGCTGCGATAATAAATTGCTATTTGGATCACTCTGTTCAGATGAAAAATAAAGTTCATTTCATTCTCACAACTGAGGATTTTATAACTCTGGGTAAAGTCTTTTGAAGAAATATCAAATTGAATTTGCATGGACTGGCTGGAAATTATTTTGATTTTGTTTTGAGAATGTCTGTGTTTTCTTCAAGGATTAGCCTGGGGTTTTATCCTTGTTTCACTTGCATTGTTTTCTTGTGGCACTACTTGCAGATGGTTTTACATCTTTCTTACCTTCCTCTTCTCTTCTGTGGTTTTTCAATATTTAGGTTAAAGAAATCACCCGCGATATTAAGCAGTTAGATCATGCCAAACGGCATCTGACCACCTCGATCACAACGCTGAACCACCTGCACATGTTGGCAGGTGGCGTCGATTCCCTTGAGTAAGCAATGTAAACTTTCTTTGTTTGGTTCCAGGAAATGTGTCACAGAAGGAAAATGGCATTGTGAGTTTATTTGTTTCTTGACCAGGGAAGTCTTGCCATCTGCCCCATTTTCTGCCAATCTGCCTCAAGTGTTCAATCACCATTTTTACTTCGTGTCTCGTGGTGTTCAAACACGTAACAAAGACCTGAATCTTTGAAGTGAGATGAAACTGAGTCTAAAGGGGACCCAAAAAGTATATGGAGGATGACTCCCAGGATATGGGTAATTTATAGTGCTGGATCGATGCCATTAAGACAGACAGGGTGATTCAGGCCGTAATCACTCCCCGTGGCCTATGCCTGGCGAGTTTTCCTGTATGTATTGGGCTGAGTTACACTGTCATCGAATGTACCATATGGAAATGGATCTTTGGTTTATCATTCAACCAACTTTTTCAAAGACATAACTTCCTATTTGACTTGTAGAGGAACTATAGTGAATGACACATGGGAACGTTAGAAATGCTATTAAAAGGACAAGAGAGTTACTTACCATGAAGAAGCAATCCAAAAGCCTGACATTGCAGTTCACTTGTGTGGTCTGTCTCAAGCTGAGAATTCCCTGTGCCCCAGCCTCACTGTAATTCCATGTGTGGACAGAGCGATAGCATCTTCACAGAGACTTAAATACATATCCAAAGCCTGGGGAGGGGGGAACCTTGAAGGAAAGAAGAGGTGTGGCCAGATTCATTCCTGATCTCTCCCAGGCCTGTCATGAGCCTCAGGGGATCTCTGGTCCAGTCGTATGGGACTACTGATCAGTGAGATCAGCAGGCCAGTGGGAGACCAGAAGGGCAGTTTCCTTTGACCCTTCCCCCAGATGCTCACTGCTTTCACCGAACCGTCACACCAAGCAGTGGTTGGAACATAGCACCTCGGCTTGCACTTGATCCTGTCTTTTTAAATGCCTCTTAAGGGAAGTCATAAATTATACATTAACTTTAAAAGCCCAACCCTAATGAAAAGTTTAGATCTAATACTTCGTACTTCCTTGCTGTGTGTAACTGTTGATTTTATCAGCATCCTTTTATTTAAGCTTCATTAACCTTAGCTGTAGGGAAAGCAGACATCTCTGACCCAGAGTTGCATAATCTGCAGATCTGGGTTAACATATAAATGTGTAGAAATGCCCTTTGCTGTGCTCTAGGAAAATGTGCTTGATTTGACTATAATCTTCAGATAGTAACATCCCTATCCCTGTTCTCTGTCAAAAGCCTACAAATTCTGTATTGTTGTTGTTGTGTGTGCAGTCAAGTCAATTCTGACTCACAGTGACCCTAAATGACAGAGTAGAACTGCCCTGTAGGGTTTCCTAGACTGTAATCTTTATGAGAGTAAATTGCCAAATCTTTTCTCCCACAGAGCAGGTGGTGGGTTCGAACTGCCAACTTTTCGATTAGCAGCCAAGCACTTAACTGTTGTACCACCAGGGCATCCAGTTCTCTATGACCCAACCCAAATGCCAAATCCATAGTCTTTCTAGATTTCCCTCCCCACCCATTGAGAATCCACCATTCTCTCATTCTTTTGAATCCTCCATAGCACATAACTTGTACTTCTATTAAGAATTTAGTTTATCTTTAGTTTTAGATGTGTACTTGACTATCTCCCTTACTAAACAATGTCACTTTGAGAGTTTGGACCCTATCTTTTTCCTACCCCAGTGCCCAACACCATACATAGTCAGTGCTCAGTAAATGCTTAGTAAATTGAGTGGGTGTCTATTTCAGAGCTCAGAGTAGGTGGTTAATCAGTATTCTGTGTCCTTAGTGCTTTTCTAGAGTTCTCAACTCCTTATCTCCTTGCAGGGCCATGACCAGACGAAGGCAGTATGGAGAAGTTGCTAACCTCCTTCAGGGTGTGATGAACGTTCTGGAGCACTTCCACAAGTATATGGGGATTCCACAGATCCGGCAGCTTTCTGAAAGGTAAAATGTCACTACAGAAAATGATTTCCCCATGAGAAGAAATGGTGTTAGAAACTGCTTGAACACCGAACTTAGTATATTCACTACAGGATCTTATCATAAGAAGGAAGCTTAAATGTTATCTGATCTAACTCTGTCTGATGCACGTGTGCCCTCTTCAATACCCCTTACCAACGCTACCTGTGTCTTTAATGCTACCTATGGTTAGATAGTTTCCTGGTATCATTGGAATGGCAGCTGGTGAGTGGTACATATGGACAACCCTCAGTTGTCCACATTTGTGAGGGAAACTGTTCCAGTTACATATTTTTGCATAACAAACCACCATAAAACTTAATGGCTTACAACAGCAATTATTTTGCTGGAGCAGTTGGGCTGGGCTCAGGGGAACAGCTTGTCTCTCTCCATGCAGTGTCAGCTGGGTGGCTTAAGAGGGACTGGAGGGTTCATTTTCAAGATAGCTGGCTCTCACAGCTGCTGGTGAGTTAGTGCTCACTGTCAGCTGGGAGCTCCCTGGGGCTGTGGGCTGGGATCCTTGGTTGTTCTCCGTGGTCTGCCTGGGCTTCCTCATGGTAAGGGGCCTGGGTTCCAAGAATGAGCATCTCAGGACAACCAAGCCTTGGAAGTCACATAGTGTTACTTCTGTTGTAGTCACAAGGCTGCCAAGATTCAAGGGGAGGGAACACAGAGCCTCCCACCCCTCAATGGGAGGAATGTCAAAGTCACATTGGTAAACAGAGCATGTGGGATGGGAGATATTGTTGTGGCAATCTTTGAAAAATATAGTCTATCATGAGAACTTCATATGTGGCAAAATGATGACTTGCCCTCTCTAACCTTGTTATGTGCATTTAAATTTTAATAGCTACTGCCCATTTGCCCTCCAAAAAGGTTTTTATTTATTTGTAGTGCCATCTGCATAGTATACGAATACCTATTTTCCCATATCCACAACAAGACTTGATATTGTCAGGTTTTTTTTTTTTCATTTTTATCGATCTAATGGATGAAAAGTGGTCTCTAATTGCTTTAATTTTCATTTCCTGATAACTAGTGACATTAGTATCTTTTCATCTTTTCGTTTGATTGTTGACCATTTGCATTTCCCCTGTGAAGTACCTGTTTATATCCTTTGGTTATGTGTTAATTTACCTGTTTCTTAATGATTTGTAGGAGTTCTCTTTGTATTCTGGGTATTACTCCTTTATCAGGTCTGATAAAACTTGCTCGTAAAATCATCTGGGTGTGGTACCTATTTTAGAAGCAAATCTTTGACTCTCCTTTCAGTTTCTTCTGTGGTAATGAGTCTCTTCAGGTTTTCTACTCCTTTTGAGGCAGTTTGGGAATTTATATATATATTTTGAAATCATCCCTGCTGTCTAGGTTTTCAGATGTTTTGATGTAAAGTTGTATGTGACACTCCCTTTAATTTTTAAATCTTACCTACAGCTATAGTTTTATTCCCATTTTTATTCTAATGTTGTTTATTTATGTTCTCTCTCTGTCTCAGATTTGGCAGAAGGTGGTTAGATTTATTGGTCTTCTCAAAGATTGACCAACTGTATGTGACTGTTGTTTTCTCTTTCATTAATTTCTGCTTGTATCTTAATTAATTCATTCCTTATGTTTTCTTTAGGTTTATTTTAGTATTTTCCCCCAAGCATCCTAATATGAAAATTTAGTTTATTTTTTTTTCAATCATTTCAGTTCATTTAAGACTACAGATTCTCTTCTTAATAAAGCCTTGTCTATATTCTACTGATTTTGAAATTTAGTCCTTTTAAGGTTGTATATTTCAAAATAATTTATCGTTCTTGTTTTTTTTTTTTTTAATTTTAACCTAAGAATTTTTTTTTACAAGTTTGTTTCTTAAATTTCTGTGTGTTCCTATTTATTTATTTGTTTATTTATTGGCCCTTTTTTTTCTTTCCTATCCTTTTTTTGTTTGTTTATTTATTGTGCTTTAGATGAAGGTTTACACAGCAAATTAGTTTCTCATTAAACAATTAATGTACATATTGTTTTGTGACATTGGTTGCCAACCCTGTGACGTGTCAACACTCTCCCCATCTTGACCTTGGGTTCCCCATTTCCATTCGTTCAGCTTTCCTGTCCCCTTCTGCCTTCTTGTCCCTGCCGCTGGGCTGGTGTGCGCATTTAGTCTCATATACATGTTGAGCTACATGTATTATTGTTTGTTTTATGGGCCTGTCTGATCTTTGGCTGAAGGGTGAACCTCAGGAGTGACTTCAGTACTGAGTTAAAAGGGTGTCTAGGGGCCATACTCTTGGGGTTTCTCCAGTCTCTGTCAGACCAGTTAGTATGGTCTTTTTTTTGTGAGTTAGAATTTTGTTCTACATTTTTCTTCAGCTCTGTGTGGGACCCTCTATTGTGATCCCTGTCAGAGCAGTCGATGGTGGTAGCCAGGCACTATCTAGTTGTGCCCAACTCAGTCTGGTGGAGGCTGTGGTAGTTGTGGTCCATTAGTCCTTTGGACTAATCTTTCCCTTGTGTCTTTGGTTTTCTTCATTCTCCCTTGCTTCA